TTTCTCTTCTCAAAGAGGAACGAAGCGAAGAGGAAGAGCTCGTCCAGAGCTTTGAAATCAGCGCGTCGCGCTGCTCGATCGTAGCGACGGTTCTTCGATTGACGAGGAAAAGCCCACCAAAGGACTTTGCTAGAAAACGTTAGTACAAAACTAAGCTTCTGGTCAGGGGAGCGATGTTTGGGCGATGTGATCTTCATGGTCGCACGGAGAAGCCGGATCACCGGGCGGACTCACATTCTTTCTTGGGATCGCGCTACCTCGAGGAAGGGAGGAACTGCGAGATTGTGAGTTTCTGAGTGGTATAGCAAATTTTGGAGTCCAGCGGGAGCTCGATCGATGGGCTCCAGTTCTCCAATTTGATGTCGCGGTCGCTCAGGGATATGATCGAGCTCGCTCATTGGCGCGGGATTTATGTGACCTCCGGTGGATGGGCCGAAGATGTTCTTGAGGGAGGCCGAATATCCTTTGACTATCCACATTTAAGAGAAGATTGGATCCCCGAGCTATCCACAGGGAGAGTGTTCTCCCAGCGTTTCATTGACTTGCATCTTTGCGAGTTAAGTTGTAAGTTGTCCTCCTTTTCTTTGGCTTGATTTTTTCGTTCTTGACCAATCTTTCAAACAGTACGTCCAGGTACGATGAGAATGAATGAGAAGTTCTTTCTCTTGTCGATCGGTTTTAATGCTTTTTTGTGTTCTTGTCGATTTTTCTTCCAGGACTGCAATGACCTTTGGCTTCGATATGATCGAATTTGATGTTCTGTGTGACAAGATCGCCAAGGATGACTTTCTCTATCTGAAGAACGAAGCCTGGGCTTTTCCTCTTCGAAGAAGGTGAATTCCAAAGACTAGAAAAAACCTTTGATCGATTGATCGAAACTACCAGATACCAAAAGTATCATCGAAACCGCCGAGAACTTCATTGGAGCTGGTGCGGATGTTATAAGGCTCGAGTCCGATCTAGACATCCTCACCACTGAGGTAAGCTGATCGAGCGTGTGGGATTGGACAATCCAGCGAGCCCAAGGTCTTCGAGAATGCTACATCTAGAATAAAAGTTGAATATGCGATACTCACCGAATATGCTAATCTATTTGATGCTTTAGGAATATGCTAGGTTTGGATTTATTAGGGCTCTTGTGGCCGCCTAGGGTTTGTATGCAAAGGCAAGGGCACTCAGTCGATAGCAATGCGCTGTTGCTTGCGACTTATTTTTCTCTTGCTAGATTGATCCAGCACACTCATCCGCAGCAAATGGCTTCGGCGATTTTGCTATGGACCCTTTCTGTCTGGGCACATTACTTGAATTTCTTTTCTATCTTTCATTGGGTGCCAAAGTGATTAGATCTCAATCATGTCAAACACCATCTTTCGGATCAGAGAAATCCGTGCTGACTAAGTTGAAGCGAATGATACTCACCCATGATACGAGAGTAGCCTGTAGTGGTAGTAGTATTTACAACTCTCCTGTTGAGCTAGGCGAGATTTATAGCTTCGATCTTCTCGATGAGCGGCTCCGCCGAGCATGAGGTTTCTTCGTCGGCGGTTGATTTGGAGCACTCCTCGTGGGCCCAGCTTACCAGCAAAAGTCCGATCAAAATGAGAAGTGCCCCGATGATGCTGCAAAAGCAAAAGCGAGAAAGGAAGCTTTTGAGATGTCTAGACCTTTTGCTTGCTTGCCTGCCCAGGAAAATGCTCGAGAAAAGCGACGTGATGAGTGTATTTACAGGCGTGTAGCAGCCGACGATCGTGGGGCCGAGCCGCATCACGCTCCAAAGCATCAAAACTGGAAATATGGACAAGGAAAGAACGGACTGAGCAACCAAAACCGAGTGTATGGTCAGTGCTGCCTTGCCTTGGCTCAAAGTCGAGCATGGATACTTACGATGAGCATAACGACGGGGACTAAACTCCCGGTTAGTCTCCACGCCGCACTGTCGACTGTGAACAACCCAGCCGTCCCACTAACGAGTGATCCTATCAAGAAAGTGATTGCCAGGATTGTGACTGGTGTGGGGCGCTTCTTAAGCAGCTTTGCCTGGAAAATTAGAAACGAATGAAGATGTAAAGAGAAGAGAGCATTTTTTACCGCAAAAGTTCCCATTGCTCCAGCGGCTATAGAGCTTAGAACGATGCAAAAGGCACCGACCTGGAACTCGACCCCAGTCCTTACGGATTTGATCGGCGTTGTCGAGGACGGTGACGAGCACTGCAAGCCGAGAACGCACGGGCCTTTGTAGAGGATCATCAAGATTGCACCGCCAGCGCAAACGAGAATGCCGGCGATCTTCGCTTGCCCGTACACTGAGAGAAGTTTCACCTTCTCTACCCTAGAAAAAGAGGAAAGTTAGCTCGATCTTCACTTAGTACTGGAGCTTCTCTGTCCTCACCCAAAGAGCATCGCGAACGCGGCAGTAAAAACGGTTGACAGTGGATGCATTGCCGAGACAAAGCTGGCCGAAGTCTTGGAGAGCCCCACTAATCCCAGAATTTGTATGATAAACACACTGTTCAAGGGAGAAAAAAGAGAAAAGCACAAAGAAGATACCTCGATTAGACCGTCAATTGCTCTCGATCATCCAGAAGCACTTACAAGAAACCAAAGACGAGCAGCTGGAGAATCAAACCAAACGTAATGCGCAAGTCCCGCCCCCTGTGTGATGCCATTCGTGCCAAGAAAGGGGGGGCGACGAGAGTTATTTCAAGAAAACGCGAGAATCCAGCCGAAATCTCGGTGTTCTTTACCTCTCAAACACGAATGCGGCAACCGCGAGCACCGCTCCTGCGAGAAAGAGGCAGTAGCACCCCAGAACGAGGCGATTCACGCCTTCCTTGAGCACCGCCTGCGTCGCGAGCGTCATGAAGGCCGTGAGGAACTGCGTCAACAGCAGCGCTGCATGAACAGTGAGATTGCTGGCGAGGATGTCCGCCATCGCCAAAACCTAAAGCCACGACCAGGGAGTGGAAGAAGAACAGGGATTTTGAAAGAAAGAGAAAAGCCCCGCCATTGCCACACAAAAGCGCTGGACTTGTTGAAAATCGGCCATCTGGCTTTTCTTAAGCACGATTAACTAGCTAACAATGTCTTAGTCTAATTGGCATCTTCGTTTAATAACGAAGCCACGTGGCTCTCCGGCACTGGCGGAGCGGGCAAAAGGATATTTCTAACGACCAACCGCTCTTTAAGCCCTAAAGCCCTATCTGACTCAACCCCAGAAAAATTCCCTCCTCTCTTGTCTCTCATTCTTTGCGGTTTGAGCTGGGGCGCCATCGCCAGGAGCGCTAGGTCTCGCGCCCGGCCGCCATGGCCGATCTGGAGGTGGAGGAGCGCGCCAAGCAGCTTAGCGAGCTCCATCGCCAGCAGATGTTCATCCGCGTCGAGAACGCGATGCTCTCGGAGCATCTCTCGGTGAGTTTTTTCATCCCCCGCATTGTGATATTTCGTCCAGCTCCGCTCGAAATCCGGTGTATTGCCTCCAAATCTCACGATTCCTGGCCATATTCCCTCTATTTCCTTTCGACAAGATCGTGCATTGCTTGTTTTCTTTCGTGTTATCGCCTAGCGCTGACTCTCTTCTTTTCTCTTTGATCCAGCGCGTGGTTGTAGCGCGAAAATCTAGCCTCCAGCTTCATCTGGAAAGCATGGAGAAGGAGCAGGAAGAGAAAGAAAAGGCCGAGGCGGAAGAGAAGGCCAAGGCGGCGGCAGCGGCGGCGAGAGCAGCTTCAGAAGTTGCGGCGGATCAACCCGCGAGAGGTGGCGTCCGATTCTCGCAAGTGGCAGCAAAGCCTCAGGAGATGGTGGTCTTGACGTTGAGCCCCGAGGAGAAACTGGAGATTGTGGACGAGGAGTGCCTGTTCCAGCGGCAGTATATCGAGAAGATAAAAGTGGAACAAGACCGCATTCTCGACGACCTCCGAGCGGTTCTCAACGCGGCCAAGCACCGAGTTGCCGAATTCAGGAAGGATCGTGTTGATTTTAACAGGGATGTGTTGCTGCTGGCACAGCTCAATCCCGTAAACAAGCCATACTCAGAAGACATTCTCAGGTCAGTCACTTCTTTTCGTTTTGTTCTCGGCTTTTTCTGATACCGAAACTTGGATTATTCCTTTCGTTGATGTAGATTCATCGTGGACAAGAACAGAAGGAAGAAGAACTTAAGGGACAACGTTCTGGCAAAGAACGCCAGAGCCAAGACCGAGCGCAACAGTTTGCTCAAGCAATTCGGAAGCAAGAAAGATCTCGAGGAAATCCTTCACGTGGTGGATTTTGACGAGCTCAAGATCGTAAATGGTCAGCTCAACGCCCGGATGCGCGAGCGAGTTAAGGAGATACGTCGGCTAAAGCGTTTGATCAAGTCGACGTTGCAGGTAGTGTCTGCGCTCTCCGAGTTTTTCTTCCTTTATGAATCAGATCTTCCCCGTCTTTGCTCCGTTTCTCGATACAGCGGTGTTGGCAATGCAGGTCCTCGAGAACACGCTGGAGATGCTATCTTACGCCCACGACCAAGGACTACGAATGAAGCAATCACTCACAGATCGATTTCCACTTGTTAACTCGGCAGATGGATTTATAATGGCCGAGAGAGTCCAGCGGGTGAGTGTCTATCTAGTTATCTTTTCTGAGATTCTTCCTGAAAACATTCCTTGATCGCAGAGAAAACTCCACGACGCGGTCATAATTGCTCTTCAAAATCAAGATGGGCCTCCACAACCGACCGCCATGGACTATATGAAAGCACGAAACAAAGCTTTCGGTCTGAGGAAAGAGATCAAAACATGGATTGGAAAGGTGGCAAAAATCTTTAAGTTCGTTGTCATCGTTCTTTCACTGTTTTGTTTTCTTCCTTGCTTTCCAGGTAGAAATTGCTGACCTGACACGTCAAGAGCTCGAGAAAAGCTTGACGCTCGTCCATAAAGACATGGCAAGCCGTGGTGTGACTGCTTGACGCAAGCGAGTATGCCTTCTAGGTTCGTTCTCTTGCTGGTCTATTTCTCTAGGAAGATATTTAAGATCTTTCTTTGGTAGTTGTCGGGAACCTCTTGTACATTGCGGCGGCCGCTTTTAAACAAGTAACTCTACAAACCACGTAAACGCAATCCCACGGGAAGCTCTTGGCAGTCTCGTCGTCCTTCATCCACTAAAGTAAGCCACGGGAGAGATTCGGGACACGCGGTTGGCCCAGAGATTGGCTACGGGTAAAAAATATGTGCTGTCGTCCCAGACAACGAGTGGCACGTCTAGAGAAGCTACACGAGTCAACTGCACGGATCCAAGAAAAATGGAAAAGCCTCGACAACTCACCTGGAAAAGAGTCGAAACGCAAGAGAGACAACGCACAGCACAATGATGGCGACGATGATGCTTGTGGCGACGATGGCAAGCAACGAAGACACTCCTCCAGTCTTGTCAAGCTCGTCCTCGAATCAAGGAGCTCCACCACGCTCTCGAGCTTAGTCCAAGCCAGGCGGGACTCGTCCATGGCCAGCGCGAGCTCCTCACAAATCCCGGGAAGAAGCCACGACGCGTAGAGCTCCGCCGAGGCACCCAGGAGGCGAAGAACCCGGTAAATGTGTACGAGGGCAGTGAAGTAGTTTTCACCTGTTTCAGCTGAAAGTTAGTTAACCAGTGGCTACTTTCGCAGGAAAACTTTCGCTCCTAGATTCGTACAACCTTGCTCGGTGGAGACCAGTCGCGTAGAACAGCCACGGGACACGGCATCGTTCCAGATGCCAAGGCCGAGTTTTAACTCGGTGGCACAAGCACGGGCGAGAAGAGTCCACGATTTGAGGTACTTCGGCTTCATCCCTTCTTCCATGCCTGCTGCGTTTGGTTGTGCCTGAAGGATAGGAGTTAAATTATCATGCCTGCAAGAGCATACGTAGAAAACACAGACACAGCTATCTTGAATGATGCATTGGAACGACGAACTGGAACGATAGCTATACATCCTTTACGTTCTACTGCATAGCAGGGAAAAAAACCTACCTCGTCAGTGGCAGTGGCTGCCAGGACTGCCTTTGAATCCCAGTCGAGCGAAAGCAAATCCATAAGATCGCTGTTCGTTGTTGCGAGTGCATTATCTTGTAATGCATTTAGCGCTGGGCTTGTGTCCCACAAACTTTGCTCCTCGTGCTCCTCCACAATCTCTGGAATGATCGATGTTAGTGTTTCCAGATATGACGAACGAAAAGATGGCAGCAAACCTTTGGGCGAAGCATTGCGGGGTCCGATGGAAGTGGCAAACTCCTCGAACGATGACCACTCGTCTATGGCAGTAAAGCTGGGATGGAAGCCTCCATGGCTGTGGCTCCGGCGGTGAGAGATGCCAGTGGACGTTACGTCGCCGGAGAGAATGTCGCCTGGAAAGCTCACGTCCGCTTTCGGAGCTGGGAGGCTGACTGATCGAGAATAGCCGCTGCTCTCCAGCGTTGCAGCACTGAAAGCCCAGCTGCGATCATCTGCGAGCTCGAAGCCATCGATTTCCACTGGCACATCCTGTTGCAAATCCAGCAAGGATGGAGGAACTTCACTGGTACTATCCCAGAAAAAATCCTTCTCCACCGTGTTTTCGAGTTTCGACCCGTCTGGAGTGATCAAGTTGGCAGCGTCCAAATCCCTCTCGACTGGCAGAACATCCGGCTGTGCATCCAGCAACGACAGTGCAGTGTCATGCTCAAATCCCGCACTGTTACCATTCTCCAAGAAGAAATCCGGTGGCGAGTTCTCCACGGTGCTTTGCTTCTCAGCCCACCGAGATTCATCCAGATCCCAGCCAGTGAGTTTGGACTTTTCGTGTTTCTCTAGAGCGATCTCGCTACTGAAGATGGCAGTATCAGCATCGACTGGAAGAACATCTTGTTGTGAATCCAGCAATGAAGGTGGAAAAGCTTGCTCCACACCTGGACTCCAGAATAAATCCTTTGCCACCGTGCTTGGTTTCCCGAGAGCTTCTTGATCATCGGACATAGAGATAAGATCGACGAGCCCAACCTGTGCACCACCACCTTTTAGAACCGAAGGCTCCGCAAACTCTCCCCATTCATCATCGTTGGAAGTGGTCTCTGGAAGTAGAGTTGATGGAGCTGGGAACTGGAGATGTGGAAGTAGAATCGATGGAGCTGGGACGTGGAGATCTGGAAGTAGAGTTGACGGAGCTGGGACGTGGAGAGGGACTTGACGATCGCTGCGAATACCATGCATCGCTAGCATCAGCTCACTGGTTGGAACCGTGGAAGCCCAGCCATTCGAGATCTTTTCCTCTGGAGTGTGCGCTTCCAAATCTGCAAAACCATTCTCCTGTGATTTCTCTATTCTCTCTTGTTCCACGCGATTCCCATTCTGCTCGCCAATGTGCGTCGCCACTGACTCGAATTCTCCAAATTCTTCTTCTTCTTCTTCTCCATCGTCTCCTCCTCCTCCTCGATCAGCAGCGATGGATTCTTCCTCTTTTCCTTGCCCCTCCTCGTCCTCATCGTCTTGCTCTCCAAACAAGGACAATGGAAGCGGCTTGCGAATGGACGAAGAGAAAGAAGAAGAATGGATTCCCTTGGCGTGGCCCCCATTCTGCGAGATCTGTGCACTACCTGGTGGCTCCCATAGCGCGTGGAATCCATTCGCCATGCCTGCCAACGCCGCCGCCACCGCCGAAGCTGGAAATCGCTCCTCCAGATAGCATCAAATGCGAGCTCTCCCGAGCTGGATCATCCACAACCGTCGCGAAATTCGCAGCGCTCACAGGAATGCGGCACTCTCCAACGCTCCGCATCACAGATCACAGATCCATCCAACCCTAGAAACGCTCTGGTTGTCGGTTAGTCTCACAGACTCCGTTAACTGGACGGAGACAAAGCCCACATTTTTAGGGTTCTTCCAAGACAGAGCAACGGAAATGGGAGCTACGTCGCGATCGATTCTTCCAGTCGCTCAGCTGCCGCTTTCGCTGTCCGCCGGGCTCCCATCCGGCAAGAAGTCGTCCTACGTCGCCTGTCTTGGCTGCCATTTGGTGAAATCGCAGCTCCAGGTTCTTTGTCGATCGTCTCTCTTTCTTTGCCGAGCGATCGATCGATCGACCCGATGCCACTGCGCAGTTCGCGACGGACGGCTGTGAGAACTGCGGGAATTTCTTCGGGAGCGTGGAGGAGAGCACCACTTCCCTCTTCACCGGGTAAGGAAAGGAAAATATTTCGATTCTTTTCTCTTTCTTGCTCAATGTCGCCAAATCTTTGCTCAGCGTCGTGTCGATCATGGATTCCAGCCAGAGCTGGGTCGCGAAGTGGATGAGGATCGGTATAAAGCTCTCGTCTCCATCGCTCCTTTCTCATTCCTCCTCTTTTTTTCTCTCTCGCAGAAAGGCTCCTTCCCGGATGCTATGCCATCACTGTGGAAGCGCCCGCGGCTGGAGAAGCGTGATTTCCATTTTTCTGATCTGAAATTCCCGCGTCGATGATAGCCGTCCGATCTTGATCACATTACGTACAATCCGTATGTTAGCCGTACCACTTTGTCGTACACTATTTTTGTGTTCTTCCGTGAAGTGCTACAAGTGCAAAGAGGCTCAAGCTCAGTGATTTGCCGAGTTGCGGGAAGTAGCAGAGCGAATCTGGATCGGGACTTCGAGGGTTTGACTGCTGATCAACTACGTTATGGGGGATTAAGCGTGAGCATCGAAACGGCCATAGCTTTTACCTCCATATACGAAGCTTAGCACGGGAAGGCCAGGAAAGCACGGACAATGGATCGAATTCAGAAGAACCAGCCAGTGATCCGAGCAAGAAGACAATGGTGAGTGAGTGCTTGCTTGATTGCTTTCATCTTTTGACATGTTCCAAACTGCAGCATGGCGAATCACCACGAGCAATAAACTGTACTAAAGTTTTGTTTGTTTAAACATAAAATGAAATCGGGAAACAAGAAAGTTCGTCATTATACGCGACAAAGTAGTAGTCCAGGTGGTCGTCCACAGAACCAAGGTTCATCTTCGAGTTTTAAGATAATGATCACATCGTTTCTGCAGCTCCAGAAAAGATCAGCGGCATCAAGTCGACATTCTGCTCGCTCACAATTGATTATCATGGAGTTCTTGTCAATAGCGGCAGTTCTAGTGATTGCTGAGTTATTTGCT